TTTCTATCACGCTTAGTTTTAATTGTCTGTCCCTGCCAACTATAGTTCCGATATCTGTGTCTGCTATCCTCGGTTCCCGCCGACCGTAATCGCTGTCTGTCTTTTTCTCTGCCTGCTTTGTCTCTGCTTCTGCCTCGTCTCTGTTTCCACTACTGCTTCGACTCCATCTGTCTCTCTCACTGTCTAGCGCACTTATATACAATAATACTGCCTGTTCTAGAAACTTCTAAGACTCTCAACACGTGCTACCAGCGTCATTGACTCCTGCTGTTGCAACGCACTAGCGAATCTTCTAGAATATTCATCACGTGACCCCGCTTTCGTAACACACTAGCGAATCTTCTAGAATACTCGTCACGTGACCCCCACTGTCGTAACACAATGAAAACAATCAGTAGGAAAGCATGAGTGAAAACAGGTCCTACCAGTATGACTGCCAATCAAAAAATGATTATGGGCTGCACAGAAAAGGGGCACTAGCAATGATAGGAGTTGAGTCACACTCCTATTGGTGGAGGGTTACTACATAATCATTTGCATGATAGTGTGAAAATGAGTCACAGGAATACACATGAAGATAGGTGGAAGTATCAAGGCTTGTGGCAAGCAAAAATGTGCACATACAGAGGGCAATATAAGTCAAGAAAAGCTATTTGTGAAAGGTGATAAAATATTGTGTCAGAGCAGACATTTTTACATGTCAAAATGATGCATTGTGAACATTATGAATAATTTCTGCTTATTTTATAAACTTGAATGGTATCCTTTATTTAAAAAATATATCCCCAGCTATATTACACTGTAAACATGTTATGTATAAAATCTTTGGATGCAAATCTTAGAGCTCACGTTTATACGAATAACGTGAGAAGTTAAATATTTCCAAGTAAAAACCAGCATTTTTTTTTTACTAATATCTTATCTGTAAAAGCAAAAAGAGAGACTAAGTTTTCTCACCTGTTACATAGACAGTATCCTGATAAAGCACTGAAGCATGATAATTTCTAGAATAAGGCATAAATCCAAAGAACTCCCATCGGTCCTTAAGAGGGTGGTATTGGAGAATACATCTTCCTGTAAGAACCACAGAAAGAATGAGCCAGAATTCTTAAAAATTTCAGATTAAAAAAAAAAAAGAGAACTTAGATTTTTATTGTGGCATCTGTGCAAAATAATGAGTTTCTATTACATTACAGATTATAGATTTTTAGTAAAAGTTTACTGGAACTGGTCTGACCTTCCACCTGGTATAACCCATAGATGAAAATATATTGCTGGCTGACACACCTGATGCATGGGATTGTCTTGAGTCAGTTGTCAGTCTGGCTCTGAGGTTTCCTATGGCAGTTCAGCCCCAGATAACAGTAGATCCACTAACAGGACCCCAGCCCTTGCCAGATGGAGAAACCACAAAGGTTGTGGAGGAACTTTGTAGGTCACCCGAGTTTAGGTCGTCTCAAGGGGCAGCTGAATACAGAGACAAAACTTCTGTCAAAGCTCAACTAACATCAACACCAATTATTTAAAGCTTCTATGCCTGTGCCAACCCTACAACCTTCAACAATAATGAGATCCTTCACTGTAAACAGAGGGACCTCAATGGCTGGCCAGAAACATTGCTGTGATTACTGGACTATAAATGAGGTGAAGCACACAACCCTAATGCCAGCTTTGATAGAGCTGCTTCCAACAAAGAGGTCCTGAGAATTACCTCAATGGCAGCTGAGGGTCAAATTGCCAACAACCACACCCAACACAGTCCTGACAGGTATGCAAATCCAGATTTCAAAGTTGACATTTTCAACAAATAGTTGACAAATGGTCTGAGACCCGGACCTTGTATAACTGGGAAAAAGACTGATTCCAATTGTGCTGAATGCCAACTTCCTGGTAAAAATGTGAGGTTTTCCAGTTGCTAATGAAGTTGGCTTAAATAAGGCAGGAATAGGCTAGTGTCAAAGTGACCATCAGGGACATTATGTTGGCCAGTTAATGATCCAAAGTAACTTCAGTGGATCTGCTGTTAGGGATAAAATTAGGGTAAAAAGACCTCCTTGTTGCTGTAGAGGAAATTGTACATTTTATATATATTTCATTTTTCTTTATTTAAGGGTTGTATCTCTATGTTGTTGTTTTTTCCTTTTTTGGTTGGGATATCTTTTTTTGTTTAATTTTCTTTAGTATCATTTTTATTACAACAAAGTGTAATTAGTCAGCTTATATATATATATATATATATCTTTACATTATTAAATCTCAGTTACTTTTATAACAATAAATAAAAAATATACATAAAAACAAGAAATCTAGTACTTAGGTTTTGCTTCTTGATTTTTGCTTTCAGCCTTCTGAAGGAACCTAAGCCTACCTTTTTTTGTAATGATGGTACTAATACATTAAATAATTTATATTTATTTCAAGCATTCACTTAAAAACACAAGATAATAACCTGCACAAAACAAATCACTTATAATCTATCTGGCTTTCTAACTAATGCATAAGTGCCTTAAAATAATTCCTTATCTACTCAATCTTACCTTTTTGGTAACAACTTTCAATTGGCAAAATAACTAAATATCACTTATTAGAACAAGTCAGGATTATATGCCAGTAAATTAAAATGTTGTCTTTCTATTTGTTATAAATGATGTAATAACAAAATTCTGAGAAAATTACTGGCAGTTTGTGAAAAAGAGGATGTGACAAGTGGGTCCAACTTTCTAGTTTATATCTCTGTAAAAAGAAAGAAGACTGAAGCTACAAAAATTAGACTATGCCTTAGTAATATGTGTACTATAATGAGTAATTTAGGACATCAGAGAGGGGTGATAAAAAAAAAAAGAGAGAATGGCAAGTTGGAGCAAATATGTGTCATGATACACATGAAAAATGAGATTGAGAATTTATTAAAATATTTTCTTTTAAAACTGATATTGAAATTTGATTTATTAACTACATTTCAATGCCAAGTGTATTCCTATATGTATATTGATAATAAAGTAATTTAATTAAATTTTGAAAGTAACTCTGTAAAAGATTCTGATATGTGCACTTTGGCCTACTCATGGTGGAAGTTAAGATGCTTTAATGTAGTTGTCAGGTGTAATAGTTCATGTATTGATTACAAAAGCGTACTTTTAAGTTGTATGCATTCATTGTTAAAGTTGTGTTAAAGGACATTGTAACATGTTTGTTTGTGACGTCTGTGTGTAACACGAGTTTAGATATTTTATTGGTTTTAAAGTTAAACTGAAATGCTGACTTGAGGACAAGTCTGGAATAGAGAAAATAAGAAGGTGTGGTATATGAATATACTATTTGTTGCTACTTTCATGTTATAGTATTTATTCACAATTTATCATTTATTCTGTAATGTGCAAATTTTGTATAACATGTGGTTAAAAAGCTATTAATCTGATTTTATTCTAGCTGCCTTGATTTTGATTTTTCGTTGTTCTTGAGTAGATATTACTTGTTCTGTCAATAGGAGAACATTTCTGCAATACTGTACAATGTACAAGGATGTTGACAGCAGTATCCTTCAATTATAGTTCAAGTGATATCTTGAAGTTATGGTCTCATCTATGTTTGAATAAAAATGGCCCACTCGTGTGGATAACACTATTCACTCTTGGTAAGTATGATATTTCTTGCAAAGTACGAAAAAGTGGCTTTAGTAGTCTGGTATTTGGATTCAACTTTAACAGTTGAATATGAAAGATCAAACAGAAACAACTGTCCCACGTTAAAAGCAAGCACACATACTGTATTTGTGTTTTGAATGTGAATTAAAAAAATAGTTTATTTTATGTTTACTTTGTAGCCAGTCTCTTTACTTAATTCATTCTCAAGACTCAGTCATTCAGAGATGTAGCATTAATTCATAATAGATATCTTGATTGAATCTACTATTAAGTGGACCTATTCCATTGCTCTAAGGTTAACTAATTATCACTTGAATATACCATAAGGTGCATGTCCATTAACATATTATGCAGCCTACATTATTTTGTTGCATTAGCATCCAGTTTAACTGAGGGTTGTGATTTTTATACGACTTTGCTAGATCAATTTTTAATTTCATTTTGGTATTAAACTTAAATTCAACTTCCAAAAATACTAAGATAAAAGAGAAGAAAACTTGTGTTATGCAGATACCATTGATCTCACTCTCCTATAGTACATATTTCATATAATGCAACATTTTCTATGGCTGTTATTCAGAATAATCTAAATCTGTCCAAAGTCTTGTGCCTAATTCATCCAAAGGTGTTACTTTCTGTAAGTCATATTGATAAAGGTAACTAAATATTTTCTAGTTCCATCACCTCAATAATTTTACATTCTGATTTAAATCCAGTTTATATTTCTTTAATTTAGACACAGGTCTTACTACTACATATTTTTAACCATCTACACTACAACAGCAATTTAATTCTGCTGTATGCTTGATTGGAACAACAAGAATTTACTTCCACTGAATGATTAGAATAATCAACCACTGTCTTAATTCCATCTTTCCGTTTGTTAATAAAATTAATATTTTCCTTAATTGAAAATGTATATCCGAGAGACACTTACACAGAAATCTATTTTCTTCTTAAAATCAAACTATCTGCCTGATAGACTTGCATGCCACCAATCTTTTGAAAACTCGCACTTAAAAATTCATGTGAAAACGTGAATTTTAGCTACAATAGGAGTGTGATGCATCTCATTGTGTAAATGCACCTTCTACATTGCTGGGTGAAAATCTCATTCTTTGATGAGGCAAAAAATTAAGATGCACCAGGAAAGTGAGGAGGATGGATGGGAATGTGTATGGAGGTGAGTATCTATCAAAATTATACATTTTCCGTTAAAGAAAATGTTAATTTTTGATACGACCCTTCACCTCTGTATACAGAAAGCTAGAATCCCATGTTGAAATGATGAAGGGACCGGTGTGAAATTTACCTAGATGAGCTTCCTTCAGCAAGTGTCCAAAGGAAGCCCATGGGGTGTTACACCCTATGCCAAGGGCTCCCATAGGGGCACACTTGTGGGAGACCACATCTAATCTCATCCAGGGTATATCTTTTTTCCCATGATCAGAATTAGAAGAGACAAAATGCCTGCACTGTGTTGCAAGGGCAGGCAGAATAAGTACCTGACTGTCCAAACATTCAAATACAAGTCATTGGATGGACAATATGTGTAATAAGGTTGGGGTTTACCTTGTGTGCACACCTCCTCAACCAACAGTTTCTATAAGTGAAAAACAGCTGTGGGATAAGGCATTTATGGTATGTATTCATGCACAGCTCCTGCACTATCAGACACTATGAGCCCTACACCAGACATAGGGGGAGGGCACTATATTGGATACAATTAGAATAGATACTTATATAACCAGTACTTTACCATCAGACTATAAAGGTAAAGTTTTTTGTTAAATTTCGATTAATGAAAACGTGTTTTACCAAGCTCCGTAACCAAGTGGCTAACTTTCCTGCGGGAAGGTAACCCACTCAATGCTTGCCTACAGCTTCGCCCGTCATTATTGATGGCAACTCGAATGATTTCTCCTTTAATAGGATAAATATTTTCCTAAGTAAACACAAACCCAATGCCACTATCGACCCATCCAAGATGAAACTCTTACAAAGGGGAGGAATTTTTATTCAACCCCTCATCCCCAAAGACTCACATTATCTATGTGCCCCATGGAACTCTAACCCACCAGTATCTTGTTAGCCACCACAAAATAATGCTAAACTTTTTTCTGTGTTTCTGAGAAATGTCGATCTGTCCATATTCCCTGAAGACATCAAATATAGCATCCTTGCCATACCTAACTTCACGATCCATGCAGTGCACCGAACTAAATCAAGAATTACAGGCCAACCAACTCGATTCATCAAAATAGTCACAGATCCTAAAATCACAGAACAATACCTTCTAACTCATGGCCTATCCTACTACTTCTTCCACTTTACAGACAAAAGACCAAGAATAGGCCAATCACAAGAGACAGCGACACCATAACCAGATCTTCCAAGCCCACTACACATCAAAATTGACAGTATCCTATT